AGGGTGGGCCAGGGCTGCCAGATTGGAGTCCAGCACCCGGTTCGTCGATACAACCGAGGGACCAAAAGACTTCAAGAGCCCAACAAACTGCGCAGCGGTCAGTGCAGGTCGAGCGTGAGGTGGAGATCTCACTTTTTCGGCGTATGATATTCGAGGGCGGCTCTCGTCGTACAGTGTTCTGGCCTTGCGAAGAGATAATGCGAGAGGTCTTAACCGAGACCAGTTTTTTTACCTACGTTGGGCACGTGCTGTCGTAAATCATGTGCGGAGCCTGGTCTTTGTTAAAATTCACGCAATAAGCTATCTCTGAATCGCATAATTCAGTTGTGAGCTCGGAAGGGGCACATTTCCCATAAACGCACCTGTTGCGGCAGTACTGTTTGGTATGACCAAATCGCTGGCAGTGGAAGCATCGCATGGGGTTCGAGATGAAAAGGCGCACCTTGACACGTGCGTATCCAACGCGTATTTCAGAAGGCAGATCCGGGCAACTGAAGATCAAGATGATGTTATTCGTCGGCAGTTGTTCACTGCTTTTTCTATTGGAGGTCCTGCGTGCAGCAGCCACGCCGAACACAGACAACTCGTCACTGATCTCTTCTTCACTAACGTCACGCAAGTCGAAACAGTTGATTATTCCCCTGGAGGCATTTTTTGTCAGGTGTGGTGTTATTCAGATAAGCACAGAAACGTCTCCTTTAGCATCCCTGTCCAGAACGCAGCACGGGAATTCGGCTGCAGACCTCGCACGCTGTTTTCCGCTGTTTTCTGTCATCGACGTGGTCCTTCCCCGTTCGGGGGTCAGGTGGCTTTTTGGTTATAAGACGCCATGCAAGTTTCCGTGAAGTTTCGGTCCTGAGGCTCCCCATCCACCACGGATCCCAACTGGGGGACGGTCCAACACACTCTCGGGAGGTGATCGCCGCCAAGGCTACCTCGGTGATATACGAGACGAACGATGCCTGCGATACGGCCAGGTGTGACCGGGGAGACCGCTCCCCATCCTGACTGTGGTTCAGCGTCGCTGCCCCCTCAGCCACCAGGATCCAGTCAACTCGGGGACCCGGGCGGGGGGAGGGGGGGGGGGGCTCGGAGCCCCGATAAAAAGACCATTAGAAGTGATGAGTGAGCCGGATCCGGGGGAGCGGGTAATGGGAAGGGAGCTGGTGGGACAAGGGGCAGGAGCTCACCTACCGGCAGGGTCGCCACGACCTGAGAGAACAGCTGGCACTGTCCACCCAATACCGGAGCTGGGACTCGACGGGGCGCTAGTCCCCTACACCGGCCGAAGCCTGTGCCCCTGCGGGGCCGAATTTTTGACAAGAGTGCGTAGCCGTAGACAAATCGACGCAGAAGCCGAACTAAAGAATATATTTGACATCTGTAAGCTGAAGATGTAAGCCAGTTGGTTCATCATCCGCATGCCTTGTCGTATTGTTCCAATACTACACATTTAAATATTAACATGTCAAAGAACAAAAATCGTTACAAAAAGTAAACTCAACATTTTTGGACTCAGACTCACCTATGAAGACATGAAAAGGGTATCCCAGATGCAACCATAAAGGATGCCTGTACCAGGTTCCAAGCAATTATCTGTAACAATGACTGAGCTATGGCTTGAGATGCATCCAGCGCTTGTTGCCCGTACCCAAGTGCCGGGCCCGTGGCGGCGAACCGCGGGGCTCAGGTCTGCTGCAGCGGCGCGCTGATGGCGCCGCCGAAGCCATTTTTCAGTTTCACACAAACCCACGGCCACCTGACTGGTGACGTCATTAAAGGGCATCAGGATGCGCTATCGGCAGGACTGAACCATCGAAAACAACGCGAAAATCAATCAAACCGCTTATGCACCACCGAGGTCATCCATTTCAACTTGACCCTTGACAGTCTATGAACAAATAACAGCTCTTGTTCACGTATCTGATACTCGTAATGATGGATGAGCTCATGCACTCCGTGTCTAAATATTTAGATATGACGAAAATAAAAAAACAAAATATACACATAGACCAAGGTTTTAGCTCTCATTCGCGCGGCACGTGACCTTCGTTCTAAGCCTTGTGCGGAGCGTGTAATATTGGACACCTTTCTAAGCAGCATGTTTGATGAGCGTGCAATTATTTTACACGAGATACGCTTCTAAATGAAATGCCGTATGAGAGCGGCCATACATTCCAAAGTAACGTCTTTATCATTTGACCTCGACCTGTGATCTTAATTATCACTTAAATTTAAGTTATTTGTGTAGCCTAAGACCGCACGCCACGGCTCTATCGATTCCGCTTTGAATTTTTTTTTAAAAATTCGGCCCGGTCGTTCTTGAGATAAGCATGGGTGGGGGGCCAAATCTGTTTCCCTCCGGTCAGTGGTGTGCCACTGAGGAGCCCCCGGGCAATGCCTGGTTATGGTCCGGGACGCGCAATGGCCCAAAACACGTCCGAATGTTCGGCGCTGGTATGTCACACATGCGACACGCGAACTAACCACGCCAGCTATGCTATTTGAAGATGTAAATCCAGCTGCACGAAAAAAAAAACGGATGTAAACTCTGGTACAATGGCCTGCTGTTTCAACGGAATCGTTTTCGCCCCGCTTAGCTACGGCCGTGGCCGCCACGTGCCCATCCTTTCCACACAGGGTGTCCGCATTGCTGAGCTATCAGCTGGGTTTTGACACGCGCTCTGGCGATTTTCATCAGCATGCGAATTTCGCGCTACCCGTGTTAAATCAAAAGAGCGCGTTTGCGTGCACCGCCGGCGCCACGTCGGTCCGATCTCGCCAAAAATTTGACATAATGATGGGTTCCCGCTAGCCTGGCTGCAAGCCAAATTTCACGAGGCCAGCTCGTAACGGTGCCGAGCAATGAACGCATGTATGCATGACTGAGGGGCAAACATTCTTAAAATGATGATAAAGATGTAGCCTGGACGCGACATTTTACCTGTCAACATACTGTTCAAGGTCAGATCACCGACTGAGACGTCACCCATGTGATCTTCCCATGCTCCGGGATACCACCAACGTATGGAGTGGGCAGCCAGCTTTCAGATGATATCTATATCAATCCACGTTGTGTTGTGATATCCATTCGTTAACGCTTAGCCGGACGATCGGGCCGAGAGGGCCGCCGCCCGCAGCGTCAGCATCCTGTGTACAGTTATACTAACGCACACCAACAAATCGTACTTAATGCCATGCAACCGCGCACCAGCAAGACAACCCCGCCGCCGACCGCGCCCGGCTCTGTGCACCGGCCACTCTTCTACCGAAAGCCGCCATTTGAACTGTGCCAGTCTCCTCCCGAAGGCCGTCATGTTAACTGGACCAATGTTCTCCCAAAAGCCGCCGTGGCAACAACAGTGAACTTCAGCTCTGCCTGTCTGACTCAAAATAAGCATCAAGAGGAATGATCTTTGGGAAAGGCGCAGGCGCACGACATCATACATGCACCAACGATGTTTGAAGTTTATGACATGATCACACTTTTAGACTCAAAGATCATGACAGGACCACACTATCCACCTCGGGCACACACCACAAAGATCAAACTACGACAACTGCATGGCATCACTTGGACAATGCGCAAGAATTTCCAGCCTTTAAAAATGATGGCTTTTCCAAAGGTCATAAATGCAACAAAAGCCACAGGGTTCGGAGGTCACGGGATGTAAGACAGAACCGGAAGTAGCGATCATAATTTCCGTGCAAAAAAAAACATTTCTTCGCCTTTTAATGATGTGATTGTTTCATCAGATCTACATTATCATGGTGCATATATTTTCTGACCCAGCTTTCCAGAAAAAAATCGGTGGCCCTGTGACCTAGATAACTAGAAATCGCATGGATGTCGTATGGGATAAAAACATTCAAGCGCCAAATGTAATCGAAATCGGAGAGGTCATAGAGGACACGCCTCGGTGCTTTGTCGTGGAACAGCTTATGCCAGGACTCACACACCAATCACCCTCATCCATTAGACCTGACATTGCGTCATGCGTCACATATATCTATGTCTGCTCTGAGCTATCTGTAATTTTCCGGGGGCTGTTCCACGCCGTCTTCCTCACTGTCGTAGCATGATTAGTTGCTGGGATGGTGCGAGAGGTTCATGCGGTGTTGATTTGCCGCTCATGAGCTGGAAAAACGTTACGTTCATCATCGCTCAGCGCTTGCCGATCTGCTGCAATTTGACAGGAGCTTTTCGATATTATTTGCCCCGTGGACCCACTCTGCTTAGTTTTCGACATCTTATGGGAAGAGGCGGGATCTGAGGCACCCTTCGTGAGGCGACCGTAAAACCCGAGGGCGAGGGTTAATACTGAGTATTGTGCGACTCAATCTCAGCAGATCGAGATCGTGAGGCTGCCATCTAGCCTGCAGCGACTTTGCCCGAGGCAGTTACTTCGTAGCAGTTACTTTTGCTGTCCCTTACCTTAGGACCCCACATGTTGAAAAGGCAATCAAAGTAAGATGGGCCGTCGCACGATATCGCAATACGTGCCGCGGGTGCGAATCTGCCGTACCCCATCAGCGGCCTGGTGCTACGTCTCATCAGGCAGTCCTGCGGCGCAGTGTCAGCGGTGCTGCTGGGCGACGCCGCACAGAGCGTACTGCTCCGCGTGGCGGTGTTTCCCTGGTTCTGTGCTGCTGGTCTGACTCGGACAGGCGACGTCGAGTCAATGCGAGCGATCCAGATCGTCATGAGAATAGCATCAATGAGCCGAACTGGAGAAGCATTATAAAGACAAGATTGCGAACATCGTGACCCGCAATCCGTGTATTGCAACAGCCACACAATGCCCAACACACTCCATCCCCCCCTCCCCCCCCCCCCCCCGATGCGGTTCCCGAACTCGCAACAGATCAATCTGACGCCATTCCGTCGGAGCGAATCCTCACTCTCGTCACGTGTCTTCACAACGGCCCGTGTCGGCCCTCCTGAGGGCAGCGCCAACGCGCCCGGGGGCGTGGCGCGCGCGACCGCGGACGCCGCTGCGTCAGACCTGCGAGAGGAACGCCATGAGGCCCGTGTCCGACGTTCTCTTGTCTGACTGCAAGAGCATCTTCTGCAGACGCCGCTGCGCGTGCCTGCTGACGGTGGGTGTGGTCGCGGCGGGCGCGGTCACGACAGGCGCGCTGGGCGGGGCGTCGGCGAAGCCCCGCCCGCTGCTAGATCTGCGGCTGGCCGGCGTGGGTCGGCCGCGGCTTGAGTTCTTCAAGGGGATGACCGCCGCCGCGGGCTCGACGCCTGTCGGAGTCGCCGCCGGGGGGATGGCCGCGGCACGCGGCGTCTGCAGCCCGCCGGGGATGAGCAGGCCGGCGCTGCGGTCCCGGCCCCCACCGCTGCGCCGCCGACCGGCCATCGGCGGCGCGGCGGCGACCGGCTCCAGCTTCGGTGAATCGACTGGCGCGCGCTCCCGCCGTGCCCGCAGCGGCAGGCGCGTCACGTAACTGCACAGCTTGCACTCGAGAATCTGGGGGAGAAAACGAGAGTCCGGCAAACATTGGAGCAGCCACTTTTAAGCAAACAACCCCAAACATCCTTGATACCGCGTGTCACTCGGGGTACCGTCCCTTTCTCTTTTCAGCGAATGGATCCCTGCCGACTCAGGGTCCCTTGCCGACACAAGACGCCCCACCCCCTCGTTGGGCACTGTGGGGCACTGACTGGTGGACTACTCATTGCCTCAGGGCCCCGACAAATGCAATGGCTTCTGGCTGACACCCATGGGTCCAGTCCTGTCCGTGCTTGGAAATTGCCCCTGGCCTCCGCGGGGCCGACTGGTCAGCAATGATCTCTGATCGGCAGAAGTCCGCAATATCTCATACGCTCGCAGTCGGTACAAGAGGTCCTCTGACTGGCATTCATGGGCTTCGACCCTGCAGGTCAGGTCCCTTAAGGGGTAATTCAATAAATAATATATTAAGTGCTATTAGGGCAAGCATCAAACATGATGAAAGAAGCTCACTTTGTAACTGTTATTGAAAGCAAGAGAACACTCTAGACAACATAATTTCACTACTTAGTAAAGCAGCCACTAGTCAGCAGGTCAAGCCGGCATGACGCGTTCCTATTGGCTGGGTATGCCGGACTGCTCCCCTTACAATGAATGACCTGTTGACGTCACATAGCGACGCAGCTGCAACAGATAGCGCGAGGGATGCCAACTTCAAAACAGTATATGGAGCCTTCATGCAGTGTTCACACCACGTCGGCAAGGCCTCGCGCGTCCTCCCGTCCACGACGATCCGTCTGCCGACAGATATGTTTGGGTGCGCTTGTCGCGCTTAGAGCTTACCAGGCAGTCGCGCGCGGCCAGGAAGCGGTCCAGCAGGCGGGTCTGCAGGCGGCCCAGTGGCCGGCCTTGGCGGCGCTTGTTTAGCAGGCGGCGCAGCGGCTTGGTGGCGTCCGGCCTCGGCCGCAGCTCGGCGCGGTACCGGCCGAACCACCATGGCATGCAGCAGCGGCCGCAGAGCGTCTGGGCGCTCAGCAGCCGCCGCGCCGCCGCCCAGCCCTCCAGCCGGGGTCTGCAGCGCTCCCTGCCGAGGCGACACAGTGAACAGAGGACACCTGGAAAGAGCAGTCTGGCACTGGTACTGAGGGGCATCCACAGGATGATCAAGCCAGCAGCTGAGCAGTGGGAGATGAGGGTCTGTGATGGAATACCCAGCTGCAAAACTAATTCATTATTATTTTGGTTTTATCACAGCATTTAAAGTTCAGGACGCATTTGAAATACAGATGTTCTACAATATAAGAAGAAAATTGAGGACTGATACATTATATGCAATACAGAAACACTGCATTAGAAATTGGACTTACAAGGCACATCTGATATCCTCCACATCCTGGCTGCAGAGGTCTGTGGCTATTCTAAGCATGAAATGTGTTGTTATGTCTTCCTCTTCATGTTCTGATCTAGGAGCTTCCATGACCAACAAAACACCTCAGCTTAATGGGCAGCTTTTCCACCTGTAATACACAAAAACTCATGATAGAATGACAAACATTCCAGTAGTTTTTTAAATGCTGCACTCACCATGATTGGCACATGTAAGCTCATTGATAACAACACATTCAGTTGCATAAGGTCACAAAATGAGGTGTCTGCTGCCATGAAATGATATATGGAATTAGCCCTATGACTTTTGTTTTATGGATTAGGGAAAAAACAGCTGCAGTTTGGTTCATTATGTAACAATCCAGAGCATACCCTCCTGGAAAGCTGCATTTTTGTGAGCTTGCTCTTTCCACTGTGATAATGCATCAAAATTGTGATCACTTCAAAGCCCAGTGGGATGCCATTACCAAAGATGATAATTCTATGGTGGTAGTTTTAATTGGGTTATATTTCAACCATGGAATTATTTTGGTATATAGCATCAAAGTTACCGGCAACTCTAAAACGCTCCCATCTGTGATGACTGGGATGTGCTGAGTTTGGAAACTGCTGTGATCAAAATGTTCTGCTTGCTCTAGCAAAAACAGAATTACAACCATTTTGGTTGGCCAACCCATTCCATAATAAAAAGTTTGCCAGCAAACAAGTATAAGACACCCCACTGGATGATCTTCAAAGGACAGTAAAGCTGTTTAAGTTGAGCTTTCAAACATTTCTTGTCCATATAAATCCATCAAAGGGCAGTAAAGCTGCCCAAGTTGAGCTTTCAAACATTTTTGTCCATATAAATCCAGATTTGTACTTCACTCCTGGAGTCAAATACAAAACCAAAATGAATTCCATTTGGCTGGAATCAGCTTTGAAATATGTTTGATCCGTAATTGCACTTAATCAGGTTCATACTTGATAAACATAGCCATGACATGGTTGTGATGAAGTCATCAACATGGCTACCTATCGCTTAAAGTGACAACCACAAATGCAAAGTCCATGGTAGAGAACCAGACTGTGCTCTACATCCCCAGATAGCAAATCCAAGGTTGCAGGGAAGGGGCTCAAGCCTACTACCAATTGAAATGGAAACTACCCCCTGTCCCCTCCAATGATAACCCAAGTACAGGCTTACCAATTTTTTCCTCCCAGTCAAATTCTGATCACATTGCATTCAAGTCACTTGGAGTCGGGTTCAAATCTAACTTTGCCCAATTTGAATGGAACACAGCATTGTATTTGACATCAGATCATACTCCACACATATATTTGGCTCTGCCATTAGTCTGCAAGATAAAACTGTACTCCACCAAACTGAAACCAGGCATAATCTCCGCAGTTGTGCACCAAGCCACCCAGTAAATATTTTGCCGGAGGTTTTGCCAAAACTAACCGAATCATTAGATAGCCTTGAACTGAAAGCAATCATTCTCTGGAACTTTTGATGGTGCACATAAAAGGTACCAGATATGCTCATGGGGTCATCCCCTTAAACATTGCAGACATGTTTATATCTGTAATTAAATCAAGATACTCTGAGTTTTTGCGAGACAAGAGGACAATTGAATGGCCATGAGCCAACGTCCGTCAACCCAGCAGCAGGCTGATATCCAACTGCCATGTTGTCGGTAAGTCGTGGGGCGTCCGTCGATCTAGCAGTATCTCAATATCAACTTTTTTGGTGGGCCAATGCAAGGCCTCTTTTTGCCCTCGACGGACCTTAAGTCACCTCCGAGGGGGGCGAGGAAAATTACTTCCTGCATAAGGCCATGCAGCGATTGCGTTAAACCAAGGCGTTAAACCGGCTTATGCCGTCCGGCGCAAAGCAAGGGAGAGGGAATTTTGAAGTGGCGTTACATTAACCTCGCTCATCTTGTCCAGCAAGATCATAGCAAGTAAATCAGACCACAGCGATAGATATATTTATTTCGTGACGACCCAACCCGCATTCGGTACGTTTGAACCACAAGCCATCCTCATCGGCACTCCCACCTCACTCCTGGAATGCCGCGAGTCTCGTGTGGGGTGTCCCTGCCAGTGATGGCCTTGGCTCAGCTGACTTGTCGGCGGCCTGTGCAGTGGATGGATGCCGGGCCGCTTCATCGCAGCAACGGGGAGATCAGTGCCAGTCCCAATTTGACAGGCGGTTTGATTTGTGGTAATTACGATGTACGAAGGCAGCTCCTGTGTGACCATCGCGTCGGGAGCCGTCAGCATAAGTAAAGGTGTGCTGGTCATATTCTTCTTTGAACTCAGCGAAGAGTGCATGCACTTCGGTTCGGTGGACTGCCGGAGCGCTCGCTGGCCTGCGCGTTCGTCGCGGGGCTGCCGGACGCCGGACGCCAGACCATCCGCGCCGGCTCCATGACTGAAGGATTGGACCTGACCATCGTCCTGGCTCGAGCTCGTGCCGTTCTTAGTGATGAACGGGTCTTGGCGGTGGCGGGCTGCGACGGGCCGCGGCGCCGTCCTCCGGCCAGCGCCGTGTGTCACCGCACAGTCAACCGCCATGCGCCCCGCGTCACCTGCGCTGCTGGGCTTGCGGAGAGCTCGGTCACATCGCGGCGAGGTGCCAGCAGCGACCGGGAAACGGAGCCGGAGGGGACGGGTCAGCACCGTCGTCCTCTCCTGCGCAGCACTGAGCGGTGCGCTGCCCGTCACGCGGCTGAGGGTGGATGGCCGGGAGTGCAGCGCCCAGATTGACACCGGCAGCACAGAAAACATCATCTACTCTCCCTTCGGTGCACGGTGGACGCCGCGGCGGGTGCGAGTGACTACCATCAGTGGAGGTGAGCTGAGGTGCTGCGGAGTCGGCAGTGTGGTTGTGGAGGTGCCCACGGGCCGTCGCGCTTCGCTCGAGACGGTGATGGTAGGAAGGCGGCCGCTGGGGGTGGACATGGTCCTCGGCGTGGCAGGCATCTTGGCTCTGGGGGCTGTGACCGTACTGTCCCCGTCTGAGGTTCGCTTTTGGGGGGCCGCGTGTCGTGTGCCGCTGAGCGTGGATGCCCCGGATTTCAGTGTGTGCTTCGACGCGGCGGGGCAGAGGTGGACCATTGCTCGGAAATGGTCGGACGGCGTGGGACCGGAGTGTCTGACGAGCGCTGTCGTCCAGCATGCTGTGCCGCCAGCCGCTCGTCGCGAGTTGGACGCGTGGGTCGCACGGGGTTGGCTGGTGCCGTATGATGAGGGTCGCCATGGGACGGCGAGGGGGCTGGTACCGTTGATGGCCGCACAGCAGTGCAACAAATCCAAGGTACGCCCGGCGATGGACTACCACGAACTGAACGGTTTTGTGACGGCCCACACAGCCGACACTGACGTGTGTGCTGATTAGCTCCGGAGATGGCGCCGCCACGGTGCTAACGTGGCGGTGATAGATTTCAAGCGTGCGTACCACGGTTAGCGGCCTTCCCGGGGGTGGTTGCTGGCGGTTTACACGAGGGGATGAGTCGGTCACTGGTGGGTCAAACGCAGCTCGCCGCGCTTGAAGTGCCGCCTACTCCTCCAGCCCGAACCCGGGAGGGTTCACCTGAGGCGTTGTGGCCCGCAGCGTCTCAAGTTTCTCCTTCCAGACCGGGCACGCAGGATCCGTCACCAAGTGCGAGACATCTCTGCCAGCGAGCACTGCACATGCCCTTGACGTGCCCGTATCGCAGGCACCGACAACAGTGGCGGTGCAGCGGGGTGTATGGGCGGACCTCATACCGCGTGTAGGCTGCTGTTAGATGCGCAGGGAGTTCCAGCCGCCCGAAGCGGGCCTTAAGCAGGGGAGTTGGGGCGCTAAGCTCTCGGTGGAAAACGGGTCACTGTCGTTACTCCCTGCGACACACTCTCCTCCACGATTTTCCTCACGGAGTCCCCCGCCAAGCCCGGGGCGTAGGGCAGCTCTTCCAACTGGTTTAGCTTGTCTGCTAAGGTGCCCCGCACCTCTTAGCCCCCGAAAAATGGCCATGCCAAGAGGACTCGAGTTTAACCTACGTCCCTGGTTTTGAGGAGGGCGCCGCTCCTCACTGCCGTGGCCTGGGTACACTCGTTCCCAGAAGATCGTTAATTTCGTTCCGGAACTTGTAGTGACTGACGTTCCTGGAGGACTCGGTGGGACAAACGAATCTTACCAGGAGGAATGCCGCCCCCGTCGGGATCCATCTACATTCCGCTGTCGCAGAAAATGTGTTGTCCTCGGCCGGCACCATGCCTCCGCCCACTCCGTCGTTGCCCTGGGATACGAAGTAACACGCCGTGCGAAGGAACGAAACGGGCGAAAGTGTCGATGTACGAAAAACATATAAAAGGGGAAAAGTACATGAGACTTACATCTAGGGAACTATCACGCAACAGAAACAACGGTGTCACAGTTCTGAAAAGAATTTCAACACCACGTGCTCAAGAAGCAGAGATGACGGGATAAAACGAGGCAGCAGGCACCGCACGTCCTCACGTTACCAGATCACATTAGAGAGACGGCGTCAGATCGAAACTGCAGGCGTCTCGATTGCCTCCAAGTTGGGTGTGCAGGGTCTTCTCAACACGCTGACTCCGAAACTTGCTGCATTTAGGGTAAGATTTTACGTAACGCCCGATTTACAACACGCGTGACATGCCAGTTTGATGTTGCGGGGCATCTGGATTACCTCCAAATTTGGTGTGCGTGGTCTCCCCAACCCCCAGATCCCGAAAATCATAGGTTGTGGGGTGAAATTTTGCGTAACTTCAGAGTTACAAGACGCGTGACATACCAGTTTGATGTTGCGGAACGTCTCGATTGCCTCCAAATTTGGTGTGCAAGGACTTTCCAACATACTGATTCCGATGGGTTGGGATTTAGCATAGGTTGCAGCTCCAATGCGTGTAGTTGGAGCATGCGCTCGCGCATCTTAGCAACAAACACTTCGATATCAGGGGTTGTGGTCTCCGTAGGCCGCGCGGCGTTGGCCCTGTAGCTAATTTTGAACGGTGGCG